ACAATTCCTCAAACTGTAATTTGGGGTGGTGGCAGCAAACCTACCATTACACACACACCGTTCTCTCTCATCCCTTGTAATCCCTTCCTTCATCCTTTTTGCATTGGTGGCAGCGGTGGGATTGAAAAGGAAGATTCCCCCCTGTCACGTGCAATATAAGACCCTTATCTCCGTTACACCCCTCTGTGTCTCATCTGGTCCTTTGGAAGTTTGGCACTCCAGGCCCCAAACCTACAGTCTTAGTGGAGTTAAAATCGCAAAACATGATGATAACGATAGGAGAAGAAGAAAGCAATAGGAGAAGGGGATGGATCAACTCCAGCAAAGGAAGTCTTGGCTGCCCCGAGACCCGAGTCAGTTGTTTCAAACCAGTATCCCATAACATTCAGTCACAGCAGTCAAAGTGGTATCAAACCGCATCAGTTCTACAGTGCAGATGTACCCAGAGCCCCTTTGTCTTCCTGTCTTTTCCTCCTCATTCTCCAAGCTTAGATCCTGGAAAGCACAATATGGAATCCCAAACATTCCCATCAAAGAACTGGAGTCCAACCCCATTCCACCATGAAGGAAGACACAACCAAAACCTTCCAGACAGATAGCCATCCAGCCTCTGTTTTAAAATCTCCACTGGACTCCCAGGCAGTGCCTATGCACCGGGACTGTGGTGCAGCTGACTGGGAGTCAGCTGCATTAAGATCACTACTGACCAAAAGGCCATGAGCTCGAAGCCAGCCCGGGTTGGAGTGTAGCTTGCTGTCAATCTTTGCAGCCCAAAAGACAGTTGCATCATCTGTCAAGTAGGAAATTTAGGTACCGCTTATGGAGGGATGGCTAAATTACAATGCCATAAAAATCTCCAGTAAGCATGCAAAGAATGAGGAAGTACTTCATCAGTGTCACAAATGGACGGTGAAGCGACAGCTCCCCTGGTGGCCAGAATACCCTCATGAAAAAGCAGGAATGTTAAATAGCCTCTATGTGTCTGTCTGTATATGTTGTGTGTCTATGGCATTGAATGTTTGCCATGTATATGTGCATTGTGATCCGCCCTGAGTCCGCTGCGGGGTGAGATGGGTGGAATATAAATACTGCAAATAAATAAAAAATAAATATTCAATTGGAGTTGAAAGGCACCTCCAAAGGCCATCCAATCCAATCGAAATCATCACCATCACCATCATCATCATCATCATCATCATCATCATCATCATCATCATCATCTTTAATTACTTATTAATCGCCCTCCATCCGAGATGCTCCAGGCGATTTACATTGCAGAAATTATACAAGATAAAACACATGCATACAAATATTACGTTTAACATGGGTCAAATGCTCTAGTAAAAAGCCAGGTCTTAAGTGCTAGGATAAAATGCCCTGAGTCACGCACGGCTCATCTCAAATAGGGAGGCCATAAGGAATTCTACAAGGCAGGGGCAGAAAGAGAGAAGACCCATCTGCGCCTGGTACTCTCCAAGTGCACTTCCCTAGGACCCGGAATATAGAGCAAATCACATTGAGATGGTCGTGGCGACCTCCGATGATGGGAGAAGGAGAGACGGTCTCTAAGATACAATGGACATTCCTGGCCATATGAATTATAAAGATCAGGACCAGCATCGTATACAAACCACGACCCTCAATTGGGAGCCAGTGTAGATGCCAYAGCATTGGTGTTCTATGGCATTTCATGGGCATTTTTGTGAGTAACCTGGCTGCCACATTCTGGACAGTATGGAGCTTTCRAGTYRTAGAAATAGGAAGGCCRACAKACAAGGCGTTACAATAGTCCAGCCTAGATGTGACCGTGGCATGGAKGWCTGTTGCCAGAGCCTCATCCGACAGGTAGGGTGCCAGTTGCCTCGCTTGTCGTAGGTGGAAAAAGGCCTGTTTGCTGGCGGCAGCGACCTGAGCCTCCATCATCAGCTGCGAATCCAAAACGACACCCAGGCTCTTAACGGTAGGCGATGGAGATAGAGCAGCGCCATCAAAGGTAGGCAACGGATGGGTCGGACCTATCGGGCRGCCATGCCACAGGATCTCAGTCTTCGCCGGATTCACCTTCAGTCTGCTAGCAYGTAGCCAGTTCGACAGAGCCTCCAGGCATAAGGTGAAATTGTCAGGTAGTGACGTTACACCAGGCTCCAAGCGCAACAGGAGTTGCGTGTCRTCCGCATATTGGTAGCAGTCCAGGCCGAATCTCTGAGCCAAACTGGCAAGGGGTCTAACGTAGATGTTGAAGAGAAGAGGGGAGAGAATTGCACCTTGGGGTACCCCGCATAGGAGGGGGGAACTTTYGGAGAYTTGGTTCATATATTCCACGCACTGACTCCGATTTCGGAGGAAAGAATTGAACCAATTGAGGGCCTGACCGCAAACTCCGGACATGGCGAGACAGAAAACCCTCCTGACAAATGGCCACCCAGCATTTTTGCAAAGGGACCTCCAAAGAGGGATTTAATAATCCCTTCTAGACATATTGTAATAGTGACATGGATGGCATTATGTATATCCTTGTAAAAGTGTCTCGACTCTCCTGTTCGGCTCTTAGAAGTCGCCTTTGTAAAATGTCTTTGAAAGGTTAGCGTCATTAGGCCCAATATTACCTTTGTTCTTTCTGGGGCCAGGTAACCTTTTCCCTAATGAAAAGGCACAAGGAGGCCCTCTTTCAGCGTCTAGGCCATGATCCCTCCAGACAGAGGCGCATCCTCCCCTTCCCGTAACGATGCCATTTCTCCGACTCTCTTGTACCCAAATTGTCCCCCGCAGAGACGCGAAATGCAAAACGACAAACAAGAATAATCTGTTTCCCACTCGAGCGTTTCATAGGAAAATGGGGCAGCGCATCATATAAATCAAACAGAAACTGCTGTCATTAGCCGGGTGCTTTTCATCCCTCGGATTTCGCGGAGAAAAAGGCGGCGGGCTCCGAACAACTCTCACGAAATGCAATTATTTGCCAGGAGAAGGATTGGAAATGAAAAGAAGGTGGCAGGAGTCCCCGGGAAAAGGAAGCCCCGCGCTTGCTGTGACATTACACATTAATTCTTCTCAAGCTGTTCCCTCCAAATGGGTCTCTTGGCCTTTTTGTGGGGGTGGGTGGCCAAAATAAACTGTGCAGTGCCTTGACGTCGCAACAAACGCCCGCATCTCCGTCGCATTTGAGAGAGAAAGAGAGAGAGAGAGAGAGATCCACTTTGGGTCTCAATCGAAAGAGAAGAGCAATTTAGAAATAAATAACATGATGGTGATGATGACGATGACAACAACTCTCCCATTTCCTCCAATAGCAAAGCAATTTGGAGTATGGCTTCTTTTCAAAGACGAGAGACATGTACGAGGGTTGAATGAAAAGTAATGCCTCCACCTTCGTTACTTACGTTTGGATGGGAATATTTTGATAAATCAAATGCAGACATAATCCTTAGAATGTGCTCCTTAACTACCACTATTCACTTTTCCACATAATCACCAGACAATTGGATACATTTCTGCCAACGATGAAGCCGTCACAGAAGAAGTCGACACTCTGTTTGACTCTTCTTGATTGGTGTTGATCTTATCTTATGTTGACTTCCTTCTTGTAAACATTTATCATTGTCCCAATTCTTATCGGAGTTTACTTTTCAGTTCTTATTAGCAACTTTTAATTACAGTGCAGCAAGCAGGTACTTAGTCATTGCAGGCCTTACGGTTATGCTGGTGTCGCCAAAATTATTGACTCCACTCATACAACTTCCATTCTTCCATTCATTCCCACACATTATATTAAATTCACAATTCTCAAATCTGCATATTAATTTTTGTGACACTTTCACCCCTGCAGGAGTCTACCGTATACCATTCACCCGTGGCATACACTTTTGCTCCCCTTTCCCTGCTCCTGTTGCAACTCAGGGTAGTTTTCACCTTGCTCCCAAACACCACCACACCAAAGTTGTAGATTTTGTAGTTTATTGAGAAAAAGGCAAAATCAAAACATAGCATGAAGAATACAAAAGTTCCATAAGGCTTAAATGCAAAGATACAGTTCCTAAGATCCAAAGACAAAAAACATGAAGCATAATCCTTTAAGCAATGGTCAAACAATAGTCCATGGAAAAACAGTTGAACACAAGACCCAAAATCCCAGACTCAGGAAGACAGAAGCGTGCTGCTTACAGCCAAGGTTAATCCATAGACGTTTGCATGGAAAGAGCTACATTGAACTTACAACCCCTGTGTGTCAGCGAGAAGGCTAAATACTCTTTGCAGACATGAACGCATTGCAATGACCTTTGGTAGACGTGGCTTCTCGCTTGCTAGCCAAGTGAGAGCTTCTCCAGACCCTTAATTGCAGACAATCTTGCCTGCTCATTAATTCGTTATCTTCAAGGCTCTCTAACCCCTTATCTTGGTCCTGCAGCTGGACCGGATCACCGTGGGAAGGCAAAGGAGGCAAAGACATCTCCACCTGGCCGTATGGGAATTC